CGGTGTTCGGTACACGGTCAAATGGACCTACCATGATCTCGTCGATTACGATGAGGGACAGTAGCGGTGATAGTATACATCCTTGCCTCACACGTGCGACTACCCGGATAGGGTCGGACAAGGCTCCATTATGCAGGAATCTACATGTGAAAGCCTCGTATTGTGCTTCGGAACTTCGAGACGCAGATTTTCGTGATTGAGTCGGTCGAAAGCTTTTTCGTAGTCACTTACCTTACCTTACCAATCAGGCTAAGGCCTTGTTGTTCTCTGCTGTCCGAAGAAGTCGTCTCCACTCTACTCGATCCATGGCTCGGGGTGGGAGGCTAACATTGTCTTCCCTAGAACCTCTTCCTTTCGTGTATTTTGTCTTTGATGCGTTGATGGCAAGTCTAATCCGTCTAGCTTCAGCCTTCAGTCTGATGTACGTTTCCGCCATCATCTCAAAGTTCCGTGCCATAATGTCAATGTCATCGGCGAAGCCAAGGAGCTGGATGCTCGTGCAACTCGTGTCTATCCCAGCTCTTCTGATCACACCTTCTAACGCGATGTTGAACAGCAGACACGAAAGTCCATCACCTTGCCATAACCCCCTTTGAGATTCAAATGGACTCGAGAGTGTCCCCGATACTCGAACAACGCACATCACTCGATCCATCGTCGCCTTGACCAATCGCGTCAGTTTGTCCGGAAATCCGTACTCGTGCATAATCTGCCATAGCTGTATTTGCGGCATTTCTGCAGAACCTGCCGAATCGCGAAAATTTGGTCCGTGGTAGCGCGGGCACCCGCCTGGTATTGCCCCACGAACTCTCTTGCAAATGGTGACAGGCGGCGGCATAGAATTTGGGAGAGTACTTTGTAGGCAACGCTCAGCAGTATGATCGCGCGGTAGTTGCAGCAATCCAACTTGTCGCCCTTTTTGTAGATTGGGCATACGACACCTTCCATCCGCTCCTCTGGTAATATCTCCTCCTCCGAAATCTTGGCAATTACCCAGTGCAGCGCTCTAGCCAGTGCTTCACCACCGTATTTTAATAGCTCACTTGGTAGTTGATCTACACCAGTTGCTTTGTTGTTCTGCAGCCGACCGATCTCCTCCTCAACTTCTTGAAGATCAGGGGCCGGTAGCCTGTCGTCTTCTGCGCGTGCTCCAAGGTCTGTTGCCGTGCCACCTTCGTTTTCTGCTGCTTCACCGTTGAGGTGCTCGTCATAGTACTGCTTCCACCTCTCAATCACCTCACACTCGTTCGTGAGAAGGTTACCGTCCAAGTCCTTGCACATATCGGCTTGCGGCACGTAGCCTTTGCGCGAACTATTTAGCTTCTCATAGAACTTCCGTGTGTCGTTTACGCGGTACAGATTTTCCATCGCCTCGCGATCTTGGTCTTCCTGCTGACGCTTCTTCCTTCGGAAAACCGAGTTTTGTCTGTTCTGCGCTTGTCTGTATCGCTCCACATTCAATCTCGTGCGATGTTGCAGCATTCTCGCCCGTGCTGCATTCTTCTCCTCTACTAACAGTTTGCATTCGCCGTCAAACCAGTCATTTCTTCGGTCCGGGATTGCAGTACCTAGTGCCACTGCAGCAGTACTACCTATGGCGGCGTTCGACTTCAACGGGTGTTATGCACCGTCGAGAGTTTTGAGCGCATGCATACTGCAACTAGGTAGTGGTCCGAATCTATGTTCGCACTGCGGTACGTGCGGACGTTGATAATGTCGGAGAAGAATTTCCCGTCGATTAGAACGTGATCGATTTGGTTTTCTGTGTGTTAGTCAGGTGATCTCCAGGTGGCTTAGTGGATATCCTTGCGGGGGAAAAAGGTACTTCGAACTACCATACCCCGGGAGGCTGCAAAGTTCACGCATCGTTGGCCGTTGGCGTTCGATACGGCATCCAGGCTGTTTGGCCCGATTGCCAGTCTATACATTGCCTCCCGTCCTACCTGAGCGTTCATGTCGCCGATGACGATTTTGACGTCCCGTTGCGAACAGCCGTCGTACACCTGTTCCAGCTGCGCATAGAACGCTTCTTTCTCGTCGTGGGGTCTCCCTTCGTGTGGGCAGTGCTCGTTGATGATACTGTAGTTGAAGAAACGGCCCTTAATCCTCAACTTGCACATCCTCGCGTTGATCGGCTGCCAACCAATCACGCGTTGGTGCATCTTACCCAGCACTACAAAGCCGGTTCCCAGCTCGTTGGTGGTGCCACAGCTCTGGTAGAAAGTAGCCGCTCGATGTCCGCTTTTCCATACCTTTTGTCCCGTCCAGCAAAGTTCCTGCAGTGCTACGACTTCGAAGTTGCGTGGTTGAAGTTCGTCATAGATTAACCTATCGCAACAAGATTAACCCAATGCATCTGAACCGGTTACAGTATGTGGTCAACTCCATCCATCGAGCCTTGTAAAACACTTCTTCATGAAAAATCATGAAACATTATTTGAGAAACTGAAAGTATTCCTTTTGATACCATACCGGAACTGGTTCCAATGTACCCAAATAAGGTCTGGTCCAGCCATCGATATTGATAGGATGGCAAAACTCTTATGTACGAATTTGGCCTGAATAGGCGTTTTTAGACTAGTTGGCATGGAATACAGGCAATTATGCAATTATGAAGGTTTTTTCGTCGTTCTAAAGTCATTTTGTTGTAAGGAAAACCTGTCTTCCAGTATTGGTGGGTCGCGAGATAAAAGAGTTTCTCAAAGTACATCGCAGTACAACTCGATCACAGGTGGTGTGTTGCTATATAAGGGACTCGGTTGTCTAGTGGCAACCGTTTTTGCTTACTGAACAGAAGATCGAGGGTTCAATCACAGGTTCCTTCGCGTTGAATTCGTTGGTGTCGCATCACTTACTTTGTTAGCATGAACCCATCACATCAATTCAGCGTATTGTAAACCGAAACGGTCACTGTTGAAAACCCACCCCTTTTATCCAACACAGTTCGAAAAAGTAGTGTAAATTTCTGTTGAGTATAAATGGAGCGTCACATATCATATAAGTTTACATTATATATATTATATAAAGTTCTGAGACATTTCATGCAATGCAGCAAGTATTGTATACAAAAGCCCATTGTTGGAAACAACATTGTTTACAAGTTGATCATCTCATGCTTAAGGTGTTTCCTTGTAGAGTCCATTTTTCCATCACACCTCGCAATTTCAAGAGCACACAACTCAAGATCTACGAGGTTAATAGATCTGCAAATTCCAGACATTGCTTGCTTCTCTGCAGCAAACAACAAGTAGTAGTTTCAGCTACGTGTATTCACAGAAACCTTAAAATTTTACATGTGAAATTGCGATGTGTAACACGAAAAAGGACGCAACAGGGAATCACCTTAACGCAGTCAACGAAAGTTTGAGAACCACTTGTCTTCAAAATACGGTTATTCTTAAAATGTTCTGACCCTCTTGAGGGCAAATCGTTACTCTTGACAGTCCCTCGAATAAAACTTTCAAAAATTCCAACGTTCCTATGTCTAACTGATCGTTTCCGCGCGTCAATCGGCATAGTTAGAGAAGCTTAAAACAAGACACACAAATTCCATATGCAAATATCGCTTTCAATCAACTTCTTTCTAAACTTTTCCCATACGCGCCGAGCATAAAGAACCCCAACATACTGCTCAAGCAGATAGCAGAAGCCAACAAGTATCGCCACCGAGTGGGAGGGTCGATCGATCGGTGGAAAGCTTAAGAATTTGAATAATTTCATTTACTACCGGGGAGGCATAATGAGTCGATTGTTTCGCTGCTCAAACGCAATGCGGTATAGAGAGGTACGTGTATTGCTCCCTTCACTCCCCCCCCAAGCAGAGCAAAGAGTCATCAGTCATCCTTCATTGACCATAACTTTCAAGAGTCTCGCGCAAGTGGAACAACTACCGACCGACGCGACGGCCGTTCTATGGGTATTTGGCACAATGAACAAGGTGTGCTTCAGAATTCCAACGAACAGGCAAAATGCAAAGTTGCTAAAATACACAGGTAGTAAACTGTTGTCCGGAGGGAGTACGTGATAGGAATTGTAGCCACTTCTTTTTTTTTTGATGGGTTGTTAATCAAACCCATCATTGTCAACGACCGAATGGCGAGCCGAACGGAGAAAATGGTCACTTTCGTTCGATGTCAAATGACATTCAGTACGGAGTCGACCTTGAGTGGAGTGCGAATTGCAAGAAATGAAGCAATTTGTAACCCGATCGCTACAGCAGGATAAATTGATGTCAATTGCAGTCAATTGATAGTGCGAGTGCTTGGCTCTGAGTTCTGGTTCTCGTTCTCGTATCAATCGAATTACGGCATTGAGATGTTTTGAATTAATATACGGACTAGACGAAGATTAGTGAGACGGGGCTTTCAGCAGCAGCCTTCAAATTTCGTGGGTGGATTACGAAGCGCTATCGAAAAGCAGGCAAGCAGGTCTAATTTATGGCTCGATTGCCCAAACGTCACTCCCACGCATTTCGGCAGGGGGACTATCTTCAATGCTCAGGTCATTTGTGGAGGATAGAGAATTTTTACGACCTTCGAAGGAGATTAGGAAGCGACGAAAGGGAAATAAACATCAACTTTCCCACAGGTTTCGTCGTTTCCTTTTTAATTTAGGATTCTACATTAGGGTGTACCTAAGGCCGCCTATATTTCCTGGGTGATCAAGTTGCTTCTCATATCAACACTGTTTTTGGGACACCCTATTCCGCAAGCATCTGTTTCACCTTTTCCATTTTACCGTCTATCGTTTCGAAACAGGTTGTGGAAAGTTTTCCTCTTCGATTGAGTTTTATCCTACGCTGAGTACCCTCATTAATTTCCTATTTTAGTGTCCCGTCATAGACTGTTTCCCGCTGTCGGAATCGAGAAGAAGATCCGTTTTCGAGGCTTATCCTCCCCCAAGAACGCCACTGATGTTTGTGTATTATAATTTAAGATCGATCAAATGTGATAATCCCTTCTAATTATGCCCATTCTCTCCCTTTTTCTTCCTACCTTCAGGACTCCAGCAATGGGATGATCGGACTGCAAGCGGAGCTCGGGGGTCCACCGCCGGGACAACTGATGACGACACCGGCTGCGATGATGGCTGCTGCTGCTGCCAACCCCAACAACGGTGGACCCGGCAGTCTGCTACCCCCAGGTCACCACCATTCGGCAGCGGGCGGTATGGCCCATCAGGCGCATCTTCATCCTCCACCGCCACCCCAGCAGATGGGTGGACGTTCCGGTGGGACGGCACGTGAACGCGCCCAGCATGCGGTCGAGTACTACAACAGTAATGTCCTGAGGGCACGGGTCGGTGCGGGCCTGGCCGGACCGAGGAGTTCGGTCCACGAACGATATCCGTACATCCAGCGTCATCTGGGGATGAACGCTGGCGGTAAGTTGATTCCGCAGAATTCCGAGAATCTGTACCGGAGCAACTCGAGCTTGGAGCTGATACACGATCACAGTGGAAATCACGATGGCCTTCATGCGGGAGGGACCAATCTACGGCGGGAGTACGGCAGTCATGGCTCGATCGATGTGATATCTTCCGATCGCCACCATGGCCAGTCGACGGGGGAGAGTTTCCTGGCTATGCTGCAGGAATACCGGCCGGCTGTGTTTGGGATGGAGCATTCGCATCTCCATGGCGGACATCACAGTCACCACGATGGTCGAAATGGTGGGATGACTTCTTCCGGCGAAGACAGCTTGGATCGTGGAAATTCCAGTCCTAAGCTACGGATGAAGTTCAATCGGTTGTGGTCTTCCTCGGGAGGCCATGCAGTTAAGGCAGGTCGTGGACAAACGCAAAGCGCTTCCCTAGACGATGCCGCGATGAACCCGAACGTTTCGGTGCTCTCGAACGTATCGAATGTCAGTACGACGTCGACGACTACGGTTTCGTCAGCCGACATCGAAGAACGGCAACGAAGAAGAGCTTTTGCCCACTTCGATTGCCAATCGCTGACGGCAAATTTGGGCTATGCAGCCAAGCTGCGCGGACTTCTACTTGCTAGACGGAGGAATACGACAACGGGTGCGTCGGCAGCTGCTACGTACGGGACGCGATCATCCACCCCAGACGGAGACAGCATAGACGAAGACTACGGAGACGGACAGGGGAACGAACTGCTTGACAGTTGCCCATTCTTCCGGAACGAAATCGGCGGCGAAGAAGAACGGGAGGTCAGTCTAACAAGAATGCAAAATCCACTCCCGGCAGGTCAGCAAAGGCGAGCAATCCATCGACCAGCTCTGGCCTACGGAGTTTCCGTGCTGGAATGCGGTACGAACGAAACTCTGTGGAAGGCGAACAGCTGCCCCTATCAGAAAGGTCCTCGACCAATCGAACAGATTGACAACGGTGCTCTATACTACCGGCAGCACTTCTTTAGCCAGGAACATCAAAACTGGTTCGGAATGGACGAGCAGCTCGGTCCGGTAGCGATCTCCATCAAGAGGGAAAAGCTTCCCCCCAGTGCAACACCTACGCTTACGATCCACGGAGCGGACGTCGCTGCAACGTCTAATCAAGCTCCTCAGCACCTGTATCGGTTGATAGTTCGCACGTCGGAGCTGTTAACCTTGCGCGGATCCGTCATCGAGGACTCCATCCCGAATCCTCGCGGAACGGGTAAGCACGTCAGTACCAAAGAAATTCTGGAATACGTTGCTCCAGAAGTACAAATCAGCTGTCTAAGGTTAGGAGTGAACACACCTCAGTGTGAACAGCAACTCCTGAAGCTCGATGAACAGGGTTTGACCAACAAGTACAAGGTTGGGATCCTATACTGCCGAGCGGGTCAGTCCTCCGAGGAGGACATGTACAATAACGAAGATGCCGGCCCAGCGTTCAACGAATTCCTGGACACAATTGGCAAACGTGCGCGTCTCAAAGGTTTCGAACACTACAAAGCCGGCCTGGACAACAAGACCGACTCGACTGGGACACACTCTCTGTACGCCAACTATCAGGACTGCGAAATTATGTTCCACGTATCGACGATGCTCCCGTTCACACCGAACAACCGGCAGCAACTGCTACGCAAGCGGCATATCGGTAACGACATTGTTACGGTCGTATTCCAAGAACCGGGAGCTCTTCCGTTTACTCCAAAGAACATACGAAGCCAGTTTCAGCATGTGTTTATCATCGTTCGAGCGGTGAATCCCTGCACGGATCACACCCAGTACCGGGTGGCCGTTTCCCGATCGAAGGAAGTACCGGTATTTGGCCCACCGGTACGACCGGGTGCTCTCTACGCCAAAGGAAAACACTTCGCCGATTTCCTGCTGTCGAAGGTGATCAACGCCGAGAATGCGGCACATAGATCGGAGAAGTTCGCCACGATGGCTACGCGGACAAGGCAGGAATACCTGAAGGATCTTACCAGCAACTACTGTAGCGCCGCTTTGGTGGATACCGGGCAGAAGTTTTCGATATTCCCAAGTAAGAAGCGAGAGCGGAGTAAACCGAGGTTCTCAGGGGACTTGACGCAACGGGGAGCGTTCTGTTGGCAGGTTGTGCTGCACGATAGCGGAATGTCTACGCAGGTGGATTGTTTCCTGGGAATCTCGGCGGAAACGTTTGTTCTGATCGAGGAGTGCTCGCGACAGATCATCTTCGTGACTCCCTGCAAGGCCATTTTGGGGTGGTCGACGAGTCAGAACTCGTTGAGGGTGTATTACCATCAAGGAGAATGTGTGACGCTGAATATGAGAGACTCAGGTGATCGAGATGAACAGCTGGAGGTAATCGAACGATTACGAGCCGTTACGAATGGTTGCGGAGCGTTGGAGCTGAGTTTGAGAAGGAATCCCATGGGGCAGTTGGGATTTCATGTTCAGCCGGATGGCGTTGTCACGCAAGTGGAGATCTCTGGACAGGCGTGGACGGCTGGACTTCGGCAAGGGTACAGGTTGGTTGAGATTTGTAAGGTAGCGGTGGCTACCTTATCGCACGATCAGATGGTAGACCTGCTGAAGACTTCCGCGCAGGTTACAGTCACAGTGATAGAATCGTTTGCAGACTTCAGCCCCCGACGGGGCTGTTTTTTACAGAACTGTAGATTCAATGCAATCAACTACGAGAGCGATTATGACACCGTTCCGGAACAGGCGGATAAGACCGGGAAGAAACACCTACCCAGTGCCCAGTTGCAATCGGCAAACCATCGCCGAAGATATGAACGGAACTTTTCGCCACCGCGATCGAGCAACAGTTCTGGCTATGGAACCGGCAGCAGTAGTCGATCGTTTACTGCATTGAACCAAAATGGAGTTCCTCCCAGTGATCACCGATACGGACCAACGGATATGGGTACTTTAACGAGCTCATCCAGTGGTCACTCATCGAACGATGAACGCTGGTACGACGTCCTGGAACCCCAACATGAAGCTCCAGCTCCCTCGGTTATGCCTCCTCCGTCAGATCCGAACAACTACCACCATCCAAAGCTGACCGCTTCCAGTAACTCTTTACCCCTGGCTGGAGCTTCTCCTCGCCCCCTTTCCCTACATCAAGACTCCCGCCAGTTAAACAACATCAGCAGCAACCCTAACAGCAACGCCAACATTGCCCTCCTGAAACGCTTGATCATCAGCGAAAACAACGGCACCCACGAAAACGGTTCCTCCGAACCTCTGTACAGCAGCTCAATGAAAAACCTTGCCAATCACCATCACCTTAGCGCCACCGAGGAGGAAGACATATCCCGCCACAACTCGCCACAGCTGAAACGCTCCGCTACCACTACGAACATCTACGGAATCAACGGTGGTGGTGGCAGCGGCAGCAGCAAGAAGGCTTTGCCCAACGGAGCCCTCAGCTCTAGTAGCACCTCCAGCTCCCGCAATAACAGTCCTCGGCCGAATAACGGCGCCGCAGATGCCAAACCGCGGACCAAAAGTGCAGCACCTCAACGGAACAGCGTCAACTACACAGGCAGCTCCCTGCAGGAAGATTTGATGAAGCTGATCAACCCGGACTACATTGCCGCGGCTTCCAGTGATGACAACTTCAACACCGGCGGTATAGAGAAAATGCATAAAGGTCACCCAAACAGTCACAGCTTGGGGAACATTTCGTCGCTGACGGCTGCCGCAGGGCTGAAACCAATTCAGCAGCAGTTGACGCAGAAATCGCGCTCACGAGAGGGCATCAATCTGGGCTCCTCGAACAACCTGAAGGTTGCCAAAAGTAATGGTAATGTGAACGGCAACGGTGGTTCGGCGAATGGGTCCGAGCAGTCGGAGTCGGATGTGATATTCACCACGGCCCGGCCGGCTACGGTGATTTCTTCGACGACGAGCAACTGTTCCAGCCCGGCCAGTGAGTTGAACAACAACAACAACAACAATAAGCTGCACATCAACGAGGATCACCTGAAGATGTCACCGGGCAAGAAGCAGCAAATTATGGCCCTGGCGGCTGCCGCCGCAGCTGGTGGGATTCTGAAGAACGGCGGAATGATGACCAATGGCAACGGAGGTGGCGGGGGTGCTGGAGGGAACGTGAATGGTGGAGGGAAGATTCCTCTGCCCGACATGCAAGAGATGGACTGGAGCAGTCTGGTGGATACGGCAACCAAGGCAATGACGCAGGTGAGTTGGGATTGTGGGATTTTTTTTTCGTAGAGGTTTGGAGCTTCAGGTAGTTAATATTTGGTACGATTTGGACGCAATGCGCTGGAAATTACTCAATTTTGATGGTCGTTGAGAGGCTTAATCGTCTTTCATTTAAAATTTTCCAGAGATTTTCAAAACTTATATAATTATCTTTGAAAATTTATGCAAAATTTCTGGAAGGAAAACCAGTAATCAAATAAATTCTGACAATTCAAAAATTCATGGCTATTCCTTAACTAACATCTCCTTTGATCATGATGAACAATATTCGTATTGATGACTTGATCACCAATTCGCATTGAATTGATCAACAAGCTGCATTTTTTTTATCAACATGCGTTGATCAAAAATAACCTTGATCAAGAATCGACCTTCAACAATAATTTGTTTTCATTAACAATTCGCATTGCTCAACAATATGCATTGGTAAATTATGCTCCATGATCAACAACTGGCCTTGATCGACAATCCGCCTTAATCATCAATTCGACTTGATCAAAAATTTGCCTTTCTAAAAAAAATAACCATGATCAACAATTTGACCTGATGAACATCTCTTCTGGAAAATTGAATTTGATCAGCAATTTGCTTTTTTCACAATTTGTTTTAATCAACAATTTGTTTGACCTATAATTTGCCTAAATCAACCATCCACCGTGGTCTATATATGTTTTCAATAAAAAAAAATCTATCGTGATCAACAGTTTTCTTTGATCAAAAATTTGCCTTGAAGAACAATCTTGAAGAATTAACCTTGACCAACAATTCGACTTGACTAATCTACCAACATTATCAATTTTCCTTGATGAATAATTTGCCTTGATCAACATTTCTCCTTAATTACCAATACGCTTTGATCAGCAATTCGCTTCGATCAACAATTTGACATGATCAACTATTCTCCTTGATCCTGTCCTGAATCAACAAATCTACGTTGAACAACAATTTGGCCTTGATCATCAATTCAACTTGATCAACTGTCTGCCATGATCATCAATTTGATTTGCTCGCCAAATTGCCATGATCAACATTCTCCTTGATCAACAATGTGCGTTGGTGAACATTTGCCTTGATCAATAACTTATCTTGATCAACAATTCGTCATGATCAAGCTGCTGTTCATAAAAAGTTTGTAGTTTTACTTAAAGCATTAAACATACCATTCTCATGCATTCCCTTCTATTTTAGCTCAGCGAATCCGGTTCTAAACACCCACATGGAAACGTATACTACGACGACATCAGTCAGGTCTTGAACGGCGTAGTTCAGCAACAGCAGCAACTTCAACAACAGCAACAGCAGCTACAGCAACTTCAACTCCAACAACAGCAGCAGCAACAGCTTCAACAACATCAACATCAACAACAACATCAACAACAACATTCCCAGCTTACCCCTCCCACACACCAGAACGGCTCCGGAACACCGGCCCTCTCTGATCTATCGTCCACATCCAGTTCCGCTTCACCGGTGTCCATCGGCAGTGGCAGCACTGGCAACGGCACTCAGCTGATGTCAATGTCGAACAGCTCCAGCCTACCGGAGCTGCAGAGTCAAGTGACCCAGCTATCGGACCGGGTGCTGCGGGAACAACGCCGAAGACGGTCACTGGAACATGCCGTCCGACGACTGACCGAAGAGAACCGTCGTCTCCAGGACGAGAGCCAGGCCGCTGTCCAGCAGCTACGACGCTTCACCGAGTGGTTCTTTCAAACCATCGATCGACAGTCGTAATCATCCTTCCTAACTTTACCCTAAAACGTGCTTAGCCAATAGCGTCTTCCAAAGTTTTCCACACACCGTTCAAATAGACTGCACCGAAAGCAATCGCACCCTGTAGCCCCCTCAATTCCCGTAGAGAAACTGTTAACGAAGAAGCCTTTCGTTGTTTGTTTTATACTATTTACGACCATCAATCATGAAATAAAAACAAAAAATCGTAAACTCTTTAAAATCGCGTAAGTTTTGTATCTCTTAAGTGACCAAAAATCTAATGTTAGTGAAAAAGTTAAGCTTTTAAGCGACAACTGCAACATGCAACACCAATTTGCAATTCGCCCTCGTTGAAATACATCAATCTTTATATACAATACATTATTGAACTTGTAAGGAATCGTCATGTCGAGCTTAGATAATTCGACCGATATATTTATAAATCACAAACATGTTGTAGGACACCAATTTTCGTCTTGATCAAATCCAATCGGTTAATCGAAACAATAAAAAAAAAATCATGTTGCGATAACATATTTACGGATGAAAAAAGTTACATTAAATCACATTTACTCACATTTGCCTATTTATCAAACGGAAACAAAAATATCAAATCGTAATTTAAAAAAAAAAACGTATTAAGTAACACACTCGATAGGAATCGAACTTACAGAACGGAAACATACCAAATAAAGCAAACATTTACATGCATCTAATTACAACGTTCGTGTAGAATCTGTTAATTTAAATTTAACTTGTGTTATATAACTTTGTGCATTGTTCGTATTATTATTATTTGTATTCGCTAAATTGTAGCTGCCTAAGTTCGTTGTTAAATACCCTCGTTACTACCTAAGGACATCAATATGCAGTCTTTCCTTTTCTAAGCGATAAGCTGTTTTATTTTTTGGGGCGAATCTGGATGTGCTTCGTTAAGCTACTTAAGTTTCGCTTTGTCCAGATGCATTTATCATCGAAGGACAAAGCGAAAAGTGTATTTTTTTTGCTTGTAATTTTTGTGTAAGAAATTTGTCTTATTGCTATCGTCTATGTTTTTGTTTAGGTTAAACTCGAGCTATTTAAGTTGAATATATGCCTACTTTATTATGAAAGAGACACGAGGATCGCAAATAAAAACAAGAACAATCAGTAAAGTTAAATAAATTTAAAAAACAAAAACGTTGAAAACCATTATCCAGTTGTGTAGAAGGCGGTACTTGAGCGTCGTAGCATGCTAGTAGAGCATTACTTTACTTATGGAACTATTTAAGGGAAATCTACACCAATATTACACACATACACACAGACCCACATATTACATACATATTATTAAGCAAAAGTTTAAATCACCCAATCGAAATATTGAAATACATGCAAAAGTAATGAACGTAGGTTTGGTATTCCTTGGAAAGAAATGCCTGCTATATTCTATTATTTGTAAATAAAATTTGTAACGACTTCTTAATTTTATTATATTTTGGATTCAGATTACAGTGTTTAAAATAGGTACCTTGTGCAAAACAATACGTACCTTACCCTAATGATCAATAGCAATGCCATCTGCTGATGCAACCGATAACATTTTCATCGAACTTTGTATATTTGACTCAAAGGTGGCGCCAGCAGCGTATTAATTACACTGCAATAAAAACTACATTTGCTACACGCTAAGGCCCGGTTACCCATTTATGGGTAGAAAGTTACCCAAAATCGAAGTTCGTTAGCGCTCCTCATTTTTGGGTAACTGGCCTCGAACTCAAAAAATGAGTTCGTAGAACCGAACTTTCAAAATGGGTAACTTTCTACCCAGGGGAAAAAAAGAAAAAAAAGCGAGAAAACCCTGGAGTAAACCCCGTTGAATTGTGTTGGAAAAATTTCTTTTTTTGAATGAACGTTTAAAATAAATTGGACAGTTTAGTGAGCGTCTAGGATAAAGAGGAGAGGAGAGGAGAATTGATTTTGAGCCAAACGAAGGCAATCGAGCAGTGCTCATCTTAATTTTGTTTTCATTTAAAGGGTTACTATGAACCACCTTGCCGAGGCAGTTTGTTTCGAATTCGATCCTCTCTTATCCTAGACCCTCATTAAACAAGTTTACCGTAAGTTTACAATGCTATGTATTTTTTTTTATTCTCAAATGCATGTGCATAACAATAAAAACACCTATTATCGTTTTCAAACGATTCCAAAAATAATTTTGTATGGCGGATTCGATTTGTTTGAAAACGGGAATAGGGACGAAAAGCTTGTTACTGTGCGAAAACACAAGTGCTACAAAAATAAGCGGTTACTGAACCTGCTCTACTTGCTTGAATGCCTGCACTAACAAGTTCACTTGAAAACTTCTGCTCTGTGTGAGTGTCTTATAATGAATAATACTGAATGAGTCATGAAGTGATCTCAGCAGGGTCGGAACAGGTAAATTAAAGACCTTAAAGGATTTATAAAAACAATCAATGGCTTGCACCGAGTCATCCTCGCAGTCGACGTGCTCTGTTCCATGAACCACGTAGTAGGAACCCTTCTTGAAGACATCGGCGATACACGCCATGTGCGCAGGGTATTGGCCACCATGCAAGTGACTGTATTGGTCCTCAATTTGAAAATATACAATAGCATTTTAAGGATTAGAATCGTAGACATTTTGAATGTGATTCCTTGTAGATTCCTCAAGTGTCCAATACCCATGCGATACAAACACGACCGTTGAAAACATCCCTTAATATACATATCTGAATTTTAATAATTTTCGTAAAAAGTGTGGTTGATCATTGCCAAGCTTAAATTTTTGATCAGTTTTGTGACCTATATTATGGATATACTAAATCCTTGAGAGCTAATTTTCGGCGGTGAACAAATAATTGTCAGAGGGGTAGACCTCATATTTACCCTCCTGACAATAATAGATTAGGATACTCAACTCGGTGCGCATAGAAAGCCCGTGAGGGCATCTTCACATTGCATCGCTTGTTGAGCAGAAAAACGTACCCCTTTTTGATTCACCGATTTGTTTGCACTTCCCCTTCTGTTCTGTGGTTTAGCCTGGTACGCTGGTAAGCAGTTGAAAAATAAATGGAAAAGTAAATTATTATTGCAAGTTTTTCATAGAACAAGCATTTAACGGTCAATTTAAAAGTATCGTAGATGGTAGTACCAACAATCAATACGAGTCAAGTCTACAGGCAAAAATGTGCGTCCCTCTTTTTGCTCATAAACTGACTGCGGCTGTGGAATAGTTCTAGCGACGTTTTCATCACTACCTAAAGCCCCACGTTGCGAGAGCATTTCCAGTCGATGGTGTGTTATAATGCAGTTCTTCTTTACCCAACTATTGTGTTGCTCCTCTCGTCATGACCAACGTGATCATATCAGAGAGAAAGCAGGTGGTTGTTGCGTGCTGTACCATCATCAGCATTGTTGACGGCTACTCCCGCCTTGAGTTGTTACATTCAAAGTGTTTTTATGGGACGCACATTTTTGCCTGTAGACTTGGAGACATACTTCAAGTCTCCGCGTACATCGTACGGGTTAGGCAAAAATGTGCGTCTATCTTTAAAAACTGTCGCATTAATGGCCCTTCGCTCATTTTCAACTTCTATTCAATTTTCATACTGCCGTACTCTAACGGAACTATCCACCTACCCTATTCTAAAGATCATTCTCTAGCTAATAAATCATCACACTAAAGCTTCATGTTAGCATTTCCAACCAACTCTGAAGTTGAGCTTGTTTCTTCGGGACCTTCTGGTCTTAGAGTTACCTCTATGGTTTAACCACCGACAAACCGAAATGACACACAATTCTGACTTATGCCCGAAAATCGTAAACGGCCGATTTAAATGTGCAGTGATCAGAACTGTCAAAACCATAGGATGTTTTGATCTAGATAAAAATAATTTGTCCACAATAGATTAGACACGAACCAATTCATAACCAGAGGCGCAGCTGCAGTAAAAGAGGTACGCAACATAACAGTCAAATTCCGACCACGCGGAAGACAACAACATAATTAAACGGATCCGAAAACAACGTAAAGATACTTTTTTCCTCTCATTCTAATCTTTGATAGGACTGATCAACAACATTACATCAATTTCAAATAAAACATTTATTTCACAACGGAAAACGGTAAGTTGAGATTTTATTATGAACTAATGCATGCTTTTACGAAATTTCCATTGTTTGTATATTTTCTACTCCTCTTTATTATATTTCTCTATCTGGTCCTATCCTTGTGTGCGTAACTACCTATCTGTGCTGTGCTCTTGTGTCTCTTCTTGACGAATCCCACGACGATGCAGCAAGCGGGGAACGGCAAAGCTTGGCACCCGGGTGTCTAACATTGTTGGGTTGGGTGGGCATCCATGTATGACGTTACGTGCGCACGTTTGTCTTGCCGACACCCAACCTTACAATTCTTGGACTTCTCCAAATGTTAGCAATTCATGCTCTTCGACCTTATGGTCGACAAAAAATGTCCTCCGTGGCGCCCTCGCCGGACGCCACACTCAACGAAAAAAACAGAACGGACTCACCAGTTGGTTTAGCTGCTGATGATTGCTGCGCTGCTGTTACTGGCGCGGCGACGATGCTACCGTCAATCGATGCGCGTTCGACCGTTGGTGTTTGAACGGCCAACGATTTCCACGTGGGTGGACGAACCACAAAGCCCCGCTCAGCGATGTAGATGCGGATCGCTTTCCACCGGACAAGGTGACGGTTACCGGGATTATTCGCCCTGGGATGCAGATGCTGACGTTGGAAGCGTAAACGTAGCCGTTGGCTGGTGAAAAGAACATTAAGCACAATGCACAGATTTCTTTAACGAGCACATTACCTGGTCTAGCTTATTTTTCGCACACACAAAGTCTAGCCTACGACGCACACTACGTTTATATTTATAGCTATAACTAAACAAACGACGAGGAGAAATTAGAATTGAAGTATAAAAGTACAACCACTTTACAAAACGAAACAATCACGCGAACAAATGAAACACTTCCACTGCAATCTGCGGTTCGGACGAAAGTGAAGCGAAACCGTGACCTCAGATTAGGGAAGGTGACCTCGGCCGAACTTAACGGAAGTTCGATTTTCCCGCGAACTTCTTCGAACGAGATCGGTAATGCGAGAGATTATTCCGATCGCTGGTCCTTCGTTCAAAGTCGGGTGTAGCCACACTCTCTCTTTTCCCAACTTTCCCGAAGATTTCACTGGACTCGGCCTTGGGAGAAATTGTACAAGGTCGAGTGGCTTTACTCACGAGGCATTCTATTTTTATAGTAAATCGACCAGTGTCGTTTTGCTACTGGCATATTTTTTGGCGTATGGATTAGATCTATTTCATTCTTATTTTAATTTTTAATTTTACTATTTACAACATGTACGTACACTTGGTGTACCTGCTACAAACTTTTGCATGCGGGTTCATGGCTTAGCTAAATATTTCTCACGTACACGGAGCCAGATGTAAGTAGTGTGCTTTGGTCAGAAATTTTATTGTTGCTATGGTCATTTATGTCGGTTTGTTGGTAGTTTAACTTCTGACTCAGAAAGCAAGTCCGCCGTGCAGTAGCTGCAATTCTACCACTAGTTGCAGTTCCGGAAATGATGACGACAGAAAATGTCCCCAACGATCGAATTTTCACTTCTCCAGGAAATCTTACAAACAGCATCGGAAACAAGTGAAACCCAAACGTTCCAACTCCAAAAATAAAAAGACCTCGTCTTCCAAATGCAGTAGTAGAGGCCATCTTCAGTAGAAGCAATGCATCCCTCCAGTAGTTCCTTCGAAAAAACACATAGTGAGAAGCGCCTTTGTGCAACAATCTAGCTCCAGATATGTTATGTGCGTGAAGACTAATCGTGAACAACAGGTGACCATATCGAAAAAGCAATACGGATTTTTTGGGTATGAAAGCCAACCGAAACCGACAACATAATTAACTTCCGCACTGGTTAGTGTTCTGCAACGCTCGGGTGAATCGGGAACATCCTTCATTTGGATTTTGCATTTTGTATTTTACATCGAATTGTATTTTACATCGAAATTTGTGAGTATCCAAATGTTTTCCCAAAAAGGTTTTTTATGAACCTGAGTACTGCGGACTCACTCAATGTGCTTGTCATTTGGGAGCCAGTGAGAACTGTCAAACGGGAGCTTAACATTCAGAAGCAAC